AGAAAGCATCTTTAGTAGTAGCAAACTCAGGCTAATGGAATGAGCCTCTAGTGACATTTTATTAAGGCAGATGGAGATTTTATATTTTGCTGTGGGACAGCTCATGTTGAGCAGGCCTGATGCAAGAAGCTACAGAAAGACTTAAGACTATGCTATCAGACAGCTATAGTAAGAACCTGTGAGACAGAAAATTTTTAGCAGGCTCTGAACTCCTAGTGTCAACTAGATCATAAGATTGAGTTATGGAGGACAGAATCAACAACCACACTGATGTTAGCTTGCTATGAAGAGTTGCTTCTTTTTAATGTCATTAGGTAACATCACTTGAGATACTACAGTTTTATATAACAGTATAACATCCATAAGTTTTACGTTTCCAGTTTGAGATGCTTAAATTTATAGCTTTTTTTGTATTACAGAAAGTGCAAGATAAGTTTATATACACAAGACTAATTGTATGACTGGCTGAATTTGGTACTAAGGCTGTCTTCAAGTTGACTTTTTTTAGCTCTCCAGTTCAGCAACTCCTTAAGCATTTGATTTAACAATACTATTTCAAGTTTATACTTAGCATTACCAGAAAAACCTCTGACACATCAGCCATCACCACTGGCCAAGAATGTAGCTGTTACAGTCAGTTATAACCAACTGATTTAGAGATGTTAGTAAAGAGGTTCTTTAGAAAAGGCACTGTTTTCAAGAGATTGAGGACTACCTCACATTAATGGCACAGAGGTGGTACATCTGTTCACAAGGAATCTAGGCATGGAGTAAAGCCATGATTGTCTTTCTGCTGTCTAACATACTGGAAACATGCCACATTATACCACGTGACAACTCAAACTGAGCAACATCAGGGACATTCACTGATATACACATGCAAGAAGCCTATCTGCTTGTTCCATTTGCCTGCCAAGTCGCCTTAAAAAAAAAAAAAAAGCAATCCTAGTAGGCTTTCCTCCCTGAAAAATGCCAGATTAGCACCAAGACAACAGTTAGTGTCCATGACTACCTCAGTGTTCTGCAAGAAGTGTTTCAGCTTATCTGTCCCTACAGTGTAGGCCTCTAGTAGTCAGGATCCCAGCAGTTCTGTTACAGACCCCACAGTTAGTCCCTTTATTACACATTTATGGCAGAGTGCTACTTTTACTATTAGTTAAATGGACAAGTATTGGATTTTTTTCCCCCCACCATACAGTTTACATCTTTGTGGCTCAGAGACCAAGTCATATGTCCAGTCACCAATTAGGAGTAGTGTCCACTTAACTTCACAACTGGCTGCTATTGTGATAATATGCTAGTTGTTCAAGGTGTGGAGTTTTAGCTACTAATTCAATTCCCTTATGTGAAGGCAGCATTTCTTCCCCAGGTACATTCAGTTCCTATATTTTAGGGTAGTAAGTGTTACAGAAAGAGGAATTGTGGTGACCATATTTACAAGATGCACAACAGCATTGCTAAGCTCTTCTGTGGAAGATGATTGCAAAGAACTAAAGTAAAATTAACATCCACCAATTTGAATTTGGGTCTTCAGCACAAGTCCAACTTTCCATTTGCTTTGCCCTGAATTATCATCTTCACAGCATGTTCTTTGAAGGTTCATGTTTCGATCCACCTGGACATGTTTTAGATTACAGACATCATGGAACAGCAGCAAGAGTGGCAGACAGCAAAATGAAACAAGAAGAGTCATATTGAGAAAAGGTCCAGTTATTCCATTTTTTCCTTTTCTGGTTATGCCTAGCATGATGAAAAGGACTTAAGGTTAGGATGGCTATAAGTTATAGTTTTATTGCTTAAACTAGCTTAGAGCCACTAATAGAACAAAAACTAAAGCAATAAATAGCAACACTTGTCTTCTGTTAGAAGCTAGACAGTATTTCAGGGGAAGACTTAGAAGTGTGGCAGAAGAATAGATTTGCTAGTTTGACAGTTCATGTTCTCTAGTCAATGGTAAAAAAAGTTTGAGTTACATTAGTTTCTAGTGACAAAAGCTCTAATAGCCCTTATCCTGTTTTTACTGTAATCCACCCAGAGTACAAACCTGCAATATTTAGGGGATTAAACTTCAGAAAGCTGTACAGGGCACTGTGTGTTAACACTCTCCTAAAGAGATATCTGAAAGATTTTAGTCAGCCCCTCTGAGTTTTTCAGCACATTTACTCATTAAATTTCCTCAAGGAAGGGAAATCTAGATCTATTGTGGCCTTGAGATTTAAGTCCATGGAAGAATAAAAATCAATATTTCTAAGAAAGTGAAGCCAGCTAAGGCTTAGCCAGAATGCAGCTATATACAAGTCTGAATAGAGATACTCTAGCAGAAGTGTTCTTTTAGGGACTGTTTGCCATACTTCAGAGAAGCATTAAAGTTAATCCAGTGTAGTTTTTTAGCTAGCTCTTTGCCAAAACTTTTCCAAATAAATTTCAGAGAATGAAGTAGGTTGTCTTATTAGTGGAAGACTTACCTGATCTATGCAAATGGGTTACCAAAAGGATCACCAAAAGGACCAGAAGGTTGTTTCTGAGATTCCTTCTAAGAAAGAGAGATCATAGGCTGTTAGTGGATTTCCAGGTTTCATCAGGTTTATTCTGCATGTTTGTATCAGATAGTTCCTGTTCCAAACACCTTCTGGAAAGAGAATACTGCGGAGTGTCTGCTAAATACACATTAACTGTATTGCTTTAACAAGAGAAAAGGGCTCTAAATTGATGTTAGCAGTTATCCTAGTCTGAGGCAAGGTATCTTTCAGAAAAGCCATGTGTGCTTAATGAACATTCATTTGGAGCTGAGCCAGTATAGTCATGACAAGGTTGGTTTTAGCCAAATGCTAAATGTCTTAAGTCAGCATTCCAGAATTGATCCAAAGTTTCCACCAAGGGCTTCAAGTGCTGTGTCCCAAATGGAGTGATATGGTAAAGCCACTTCCTCCCCCAGGGGGTACTGAACATGGGAACCTTCCATTTGTTCAGCTAAAGAGCTGCACAGTTCACACTGTCTGCTCTGTAGAGAGGTAAGCATAGCCAAAGTGGAAGACTTCTGCAACTACATTATTTTACAGTCTTTTGTAGAAGCTCCCAATACAGGGCTGAAGAACTTCATGGTAGGGCTTGTAGCTTAGGGAACTGGTTACAGACTCCCCAAGGGGGGGGGGGGGCCAGCATTTGGGGTTTTTACTACTTACAGATGAGGCACTGAACAGGTCTGGTTTAGCTTGACTTTCAAATAGATCATCAGCTGGCAGCACAGTTTGTCGGGGAACAGGCTTTGGTGGTTCTAGGAAAGAGAGAGAGACATACTGCTATATCACTAAACAGCTTTAACAAGTACACAGCTCTGTCTGTATAGCAACACCAAAGCTCACCTAATTGGGTGCAGAGACCCACACAGAAGTTGCTTTGAGTGGCCTCAATTTTCTCTCCTGCTTGTCCCTCAGTACACTTAAGCTAGATAGGACTTCTAACACTGTACAGACCTAGTTTACCTCAGTCTAGTCAAGTAGTTTAGGCACTAGGTATCAGTGTTTGGCCACTGACATTGGTCAATTCTTTAACATTATTAGGGGAGATAGTCCTTCAACCCTGTTTCAGTAACCATTAAATCAAATTTTTAGTTCTATCAGAAAAGAATAGTGATCAGCCTGAGCAGCTATCCAAGCAGGGAGAAAAAAAAAAAAAAAAAAAATCAGTCATTTTGGCAGACAGCTTGCTAGCATCCATATCATCATGATCTGTACTATCTTGAGGAATACCTACTTTACTACTAAAATAATTGCTGAAAGATCCAGAAGCACCTGAAAGGCTTTGCTTCTCTCCTCTCCTTGCTGGCACTGCAGGTGGCTTTGTCAGCTGGAAGTCTTTAAACATTTCCTTGACATCCTTCATCTCTCTATCACCAAGTGGATCCAGAGCAATAAAAGCATCACTCTCTCTCTTGGATAGCTCCTGCTGAGGTGCAGTTCTAGGTGGTGGCTGAAGTGGGCTAGTTGTTGACATGGAGGGCAGTACAGATGAGGTCTGTGCAGGTAGTGTTGAAGATGGGAACACACTACTCTGGAAGGGATTTACAGCACTGGATGGCTGTGCCCATAAAGTAGATGGAACTTGTGCTGGCTGTGCCCAGAGACCAGAGGTCTGAGAGGCTGCTAGATCAAAAGATGCAGGCTGGCTCCAGCTTGGCACTGCTTGAGTAAATCCTGTAGGCTGAGCAGGCATCATAGACACAGGAAAGACTGATGCAGCTTGAGTGAAGGCAGATGTCTGTACACTCCATGGTGATGAAGTTACTGGCAAGCCACCTGGGGGGAGATTGTTGTTACACAGCACTTCAGTGATCTGAAGACCTCAAGTAGGAGTGAGGGGGTTAACATTTTTTACTTTGCTCCATTTTGGTCTTGGAAGAACAGAATTGAGGTTGATAGAACAGGACTAGGAACATACATCTATCACTTCTGTGCCAGGACTAAGCATTTACCATATAGTTACTTCTGTGTAAATTATTACTAAGACTCTGCAGCAGTGCTACCCTGGCCTCCCAAGTTGTGCTTGGCACACTTGAACCTTGTGTACCTGAAGCAGCAAGCTGCTGTCAAAGTTTAAGCAAAAAAAAAAACAACACCCTGTTCCAGTTAAGGATGCAAAGTTTAGGGCTCTATTCACAGAATTTAATAGTTTAGGGCAGACAGCACATGGTTTAAAGGGCAGGGTATTGCACATGAAGTAAAGGACAACTAGAACCCCTGTGTTGGTGTTAACAGATATCTTGGATCGGAGCAAGAGCTTCACTTTGTGAACTAACCTAGATCAGCCAATGGAGGTGCTGTGGTAGGACTTGTTTTGAAGAGGTCCAGTGGATTAGTTGGCACAGGTCCCATCTGTGCCACTGAGGTCAAGCCAAGGCTCTCTGTAGTTGGCACAAACAAGTCTGAGCTAAACAAGTCATTCAATGCAGTCTAGAAAGAAAAAAGCTGTTGTGAGATAGCATGTCAGAACACATGCTAGCTTGATCAAGACCCCCCCAGTTCAGAGCTACAAGCTTTTATTTCAGCTACAGCAGAGCTGAGAACTTTGATACATCCTTTAGAGACCAAGTATAAGAGTTTCAAACCTCACCATTTCATTCACACCTACTGAGATGCATGGCATTAAATAGGTATAATATATAGTAGTTACAAGTCAACAGCAGAAAAATAAGACTTAAAGTGACTGAATTATTTGCTAGCATAATGAGCTCTCCCCACCCCCCCAACATTCCTGCATCCTGCTCAGTCCGCAGTGATCCCTGCGGCAAGGTCAACAACTGAGTTTTGCATCATTTCAGTGCAAGACAAATGCAGCTGACCTAGAGCCACCCTGTGTCTAATCAGGCAAGTCATTGAGATTGCCCTCAGTAGGCAGGTACTGCAAAACCACATAGGTTTCTGTAAGCTAGTACTAGTACCTCATTGTTATGAAACCACAGGCTGATGGGCATACAACTACCATAACAGGTTCTGACATCATATCAAGTGTTAATATACATAGCAGCATACTTACCAGACCTTTATAGAAGTATGGCAGCATTAAGGAAGAAAGTATATAATTTAGTGATCATAGCTACTATGAAGCATTCATGAATGTTAGAATGTATTAGAATGTACCATGGCTGCAGAGAGGTTAGAGTAAGTGTAGCAGGTGAAAGAGTAGATGTGCTATGAAGCTGTTTAGCCAGTTACACAGTATGAAGAAAGAAAAGCTTCTTTAAGTAACAGCATGCATATCACCATTAGTTACTTGAACATTGTTCACCTTGATGGGCCTCCTTCCTCTTCCTGGCTTGGTACTTTGTGGTGGTGGGCTAATTGTTATAGACTCATGTGACATGAGCTGGATATTGCTTTCAGAATCCAGCTTTACTCCATTCTGCAGAGATACTCCTTTGGAAGGACCTTGCACAAACAGGTTTGATGGGGCTTTAAGAAAGCCATTCTGTTCTCTCTCTGGTACCCCATTTGAAGTTCTTGCTGCAGGCAACTTACTCTCAAATGGCCACTGGTTTGTTAGCGCTTCTTGTTTGCCAGTTCTATTAGAAATCTGGTCAAACTGTTTACCAAAGTAGTCAATATCACCATTTGAAGCACCATTACCCACTGGTGTCAAGGTACTCAGACTTTCCTTCTGATCAGCAGATTTTAGAGAATCAAATAAAGGCAGTGTAGGTTGGTCTGGCTGTGCAAAAGGATCATCACTGAAAGGGTCTGGACTAGGTGTGGGAAAGAAGCTGAGATTGGTAGAGA